GAGGAAGATGACGAAGAGAGTCAGGGGTTGGAAAAAAGAAGAGACGAGGGGGATGGCTCTTTGTCTCGGGGGTTCGGATTCTGAAGATAGAGGCTAATTCCTGGCAGCCACCCTTCGAGGAATGTCGACTTTTACCCTGCACAAGATCTCCTCTTGTCCACCTTTTCATCCTTTCGTCCTTTTCCTTTGCCTTTGCTTGGGTACTTTGATGTTCCTAATTTGATTGAAGGAATCCGTCGTACGGATACTAACTTCGTCTTTATTGATTGCTGTTTTGTTCAACCTTCGTTGTCGAAGGACCGATAGATGCGCCGCAGGATGCAAGCGATATCTAATCCGAAATCCTTTCGACGTAACGTTTAAATTCCACTGATCCTTGCTATAGTCCACCTCATAGGTAAGGCTGACGATTCATTTTATCGTACGTTGAAGAAGAATTGATCAATCCTTGCAATTCGATTATAACGCAATTAACTTTTTCAATTCGGTAATAAAGAATGTAATGTAAAGAGAGCTCTTATATAAGAATCATAATAGTGACTAATTTTTTATGTCATCAACAGTATTTCCGTCATCACGTCGATAATCTACCAACATTTCCGCAATTTTTCTCAACATCAGCCTTATAAGTTCTGCTTGAGACAACTTATGCTAGCGACAGTTATTACGTCGTAACTATCAAGAGAATCGTCGAAAATTCGTTTTGATTATATCGAAGTCGCTGCTGGCATCCAGCGATCGGGCTTCTAATCTGATTCGAGCCGTTTATACGGAACCAAATGTCGATATCCACTCCAGCGTGGACTTCAACTTCCTTTTTTCCTCCCTCCCCCCAATTCGTCCCGCCTCTGGCCGCCCGTAAGGAAAAAAGGAACGCTATCAGGAAACCCGATAAAGGGGGTCCGCGAATTTTCTGCAAAACCGAAGAGATCTCGGACGGAGCTGCGCGCCGTATCTTATCGTGAAGCAGACGTCCGCGGCAGAGAATCCCCGGACTCGGGCATCCCGTATATAGGTACGTACCTGTATTATATCTGCGTCGTTCACATATCTGGATAGGAGCGCATCATATTCCCCCGTACCTTTCTACCTACCCGCTACCACTCTGTATCGATACATCGTACGTATACGGGTGGAATATCGCGCACGTGTATCTATATTATATCTCGCGAAATATCGAATGGGCGTCGTCTCGAACGGAGATGCTATGCTATAGGATGTCCTGTAGCACGTCTAGAATGCGCGCCGGATTACCGATCGCGACAGTATCATTTATACGAAATTCCGATTGTTACGATTTTGTACGACTTGCAGCTTACTATATAAAATGATAACAACTGCGTCCAAATATAAAAATTTTGTCGTTTTGTCTTGTCAATGTAGCACAATGAGCTCAATAAAAAAATGTAAGCAAGATATCATATATGTCTATATATTATATACGGTAAAAAACATTTCGTATTTGTGTTAAAATTGGTCCTTGTTAAAATTCTTGTATTGAATTTATGAGTAAATAATCAACATAAAAATATTTTAAAATATAAATTTTAAAATAAAGAAATAAAATGTTAATTTTATACTGAAAAAGCTTCTACAATTTGTTACAAATTATATACAGCTGTGTGTATTACTTATATTTAAAGAATTTTATTTTTTTATATCCATATTAATATTTAAGTATTTATATAATTTAATTATATTTGCATAATTTTATTATTAGTTTAATAATTATAACAAGATCAGATTTGTTCGTCAATGAATATGATTTTACAGTCAAATTATTATCGCTCTGTGTTCGTATTATATTAAAACACAAATATAATATTCTTACCCCTTTATATAATACATTTTTGAAATATTGGAATGGAGTGGTTCATTTTTCGTTTTCTTCTTCCTGTTGTGCAACGGGCGGCATCTGTATCTCTTTCATAACAGATATACATGTGTATTTGTGTGCGAAATGCACACCTACATACATATCGGCAAAGTACCCATTACCAGTATTCGAGCGGTATTAATCTACTCGGGCTAATTGCATGTCGATTACAGTGATCGTAACGAGTGCCGATAAATACTGGAATCAAAGTGAAAAATTTCCACTTGAAACGTTTTAGGCCATGCGTGCGATACTGAGTGTGATGAAGGCTGTTTTGATCGATATAAAATATTGCCGGTCCATTTGGGAGATGTTATTCTACTTTATGATATGCGAGGTTCCTCGTCAATTTACGAAATAAATTACAGGAATTATACAAGAATTATTAGTTCTTCATATAAATGTACTCCTCTAGCGTGTTATTATTGATATTCTCACGACTGTAAAAATATAAAACAAATATTTACTTTAATTATTTAGTATACTATTTAAAATATATAAAATAACATTTATGCACTCCACATCGTATTTTTTCAGGACTTATTGTTACCAACTAATAACTTATTTAATTTACTTAATTTTGAACGTAACGATATAGAAAATAATCGTATTACGAGATAAGTTAAAAATGATTGGATTCCTTTTGCCTTTCATCGCTCGAATTTTGCAAAAAAGGGCCGCGGGCATGTTGAGCATCGGTTGTCTCGGGGAACGAGAATGGTTGAGGATGAAGGGCAACACAATGGCATTACTAATGATTTTACTTCGAGCGACCCTCAGGGAAGTCATATCGATACGATAGGATACCGCGATACGCGAGCAGAAATGCCGCGCCGGTCGGATAAACCAGGAACCTCCGAGCCCTCCACTTCCGTTTTTACTGACGGCGAAGAACGAAAGAAGGGGAAAGAAAAAGAGGGAGAAAGAGGAGAGAAAAAGAGGGAAAAAGAGACCGCCTAGACCAGTTCAGGGGTTACGTCTACTTGATCGACCCGCCGACTGTCGATGATTTCGTTTACTTCGAAATGGAAAAGAGCGAATAAAGCTCCAATGATGACGTATCTTACAGTTCAATTTCGATTTTCGAACCGGTTTCGATTAATTTAAATTAAGAAATAATTTTGTTTCTATCTTTTAATCTTTCACTTCTTTAATTATAACATATATTATACTCTTTTATATTTAGTTGCAATCATAATATAAGTATATATCTGCGTTACAAAAGAAAGAATTAATTAAACGACATCTATCTTCATTTTTTGTTGACATTAACTTCATATACAAAATATTAAAAACATTAAAATATTAACAATTTAAATATTAACAATTTAAACATTTATTTAACCGTCGTTTTGAAATAATAAATATTCTTTTTTCTATAACATAAAGTCCGAAATTGAGAGATTTAAAGATCAGACGCACACGTTGGCGCGCAAAAATTGCCAGAAGAAAAAAGGGACAGCTGTATATTCGGCAACATCGTTTTAGGGGCTGTTACGCTCCCACGAGGCTGTACGAGGCGCCTTACCCTCTCGGTACAGCTAAATGTCTACATTCTATCCCTCGTCGCGCCACACACTTCGAAACTCACTCACTTCGCCATTCCTACGCCGGAAAATCCCTCGCGGCGTTCACTCAATCATACGCTGTTTGTGTCGCGACGACCACGTAGCGCACAATCGGCGCAAGAAAAAGATGTCCATCGAGCAAGAAAACTCACCCTGCTTGGTCTTGGTGTCATTCAAGCTCTCAGGCCCTCATCTCTTTCTCCTCCTTGTCCATATAATCGCAGTTTTACACCACAATCACAGATCAATGATTCATTTTGCTAGAAATATCAGTTAGAGTCATTTCGGCGTATTTAGCTCCACAGGTTGTCTTAGCTAGAATATGCATTCTAATGTTGCTCATTTTATCGTTGTTATATATTATCGACTGTTATATTAACTAGATAATGATAAATCTATGTATATTTTTTACATGTTTAATTTTAGTCTATTTAATAGTCGTTTTGTATTGACTAATTTTTATCATCCGGACAATTGTTTCTGTTTCACTTTATCTATTACTGAACTAATTTATTTATTAAAATATTACTGCGCCCTAATAACTGTATGTGACTTGTATTTGCTGTTTTTATTAAACATTAATTCTTATGTATATCAAAATGCAATCTGAATAGATATCTGAATTCTTTCTGGAACACAAATACTTATGAATGTCGAATTTTATGCTGTAGAATACTATATAATGTGCATTAGAATTACACATATAATGTGCATTACTTTACAATTACAGCATCATACATGGACGCGTAAGATCGCGAAGATAATATTCTCGCTAGTAATTTGGTTCCTTGATTAACAATCATCTTTGATGCCTACTTATTACAGTGGGATGGCAATTTCCTGCATCATAAAAAATATTTATTTTTGCCGTAATCCGACGCGCTGGCGTGTAGGAAGCGGAACGCATTTGACTGGTTTAAATCTCGTCGAGTCACTACCGTTAAGTACGATTAATTATTTTAAGCTTTCCACTTCACGAGCATCGTTCAAAAGCAGGCTCCATTATCTGCTTTCCACAATCTGCGTGAACCGTATTTGCATTTCGCAATTGTTTTTTTTTTGTTTTTCGAATATCCCGATTCATTCGCACTAGGCATGGGTGGATCGCAGTTGTAATTGATTTTGTAAGACTCGATGTATAATGCGTCGATGTCAGATATGAGATATATAATAATAACAATTTAACTTTTAATCCAAACAACACACACAAATCATTCTAGTAATATTGCAGCAATAATGCAACGTTCCAGCAACATTGCAGTAACGTTGCAAACGTTGAAACAATGTAGCTGCAAGCTTCCGTGTAGTATCTCTGAGAACAATCATATGATAATTGCTGGAAAATCTCTAATTACGAAGTAACAATAATCTTGATAGTTTTTAACACATTTGTATGTAAAAGGGTAGAATTTTAAAACACGTTACTGCAATTTTCAAGATATCTTCATTGTAATTATTATCTTTTCATACTTTTCTTGTATTGAAACGAAATGAACAATAAGATTCTTCATTTACCACGTAACGAAAATAAGTTAAAAAGTATTACGTAAAATTATATGCCATGCGTTAAACGCAGGACATTTATCGTTAGCCCCACAACTGTGCCTTCTGTTATTCTCCCATGGAGCATCCTCCAGGAACTCTCTGCGACGAACAATGTCTCTATTTTCCGCTTCTCCCCCGCCGCGGAAACCATTTTTATTCGCTACAGTATGCGCTTCATAATCTTTGTCGACTCCTCGAATGTCAGACTTCTTCTTGCCTTGCCTGCACATCCTTTTCCCTCACTGCCCATTCCCACAACCCTCCTAGCCGAATGTTGCCTCGCTTTCTTGCGAGAGTTTCTCCTCGGGATAGAGATCGCCTTTGTGCTTCCATCGACTTGGGCTGACAGGTGGAAATGGACGATTAAACGATCGACAAACCCGCCAAGAATTGTCTGGAAGCGTTGGTCAGTACTACCGCAAAAAGCAGTCGCATTCAAAACGAGGTGTTTTTTGTAACTCGCCATTTATGTCCGAGAAGTTAAAAGAATGGCGCGAGAGAAAGGGAGCGATGTTTATTTGAAGTAAACATCGTAAAACAGACGTCTTCTTTTTATTGCAGCAAATACATGTAAAAAAAATTTTTTTTAAGTTTCAAAAAAAAAAGAAAAATTTTACTTGTTTATCATTTACTAATTTTTTAATGAGACATTGATAATTATAATGCAACTTCCTTGTTTTTTTGTTGTTATTAAATATCAAAAGTTTTGTTTTAAAATTAAATCGTGCTACTGAAATATAAGTGGTTGGTATACATTTCAAAAAATAAAAATATCCCGACGGAAAAAATGTATTAATAAAAAGAATAATTTTCATAATAAATTCTTTTTATAATCGTAGGAAGGTAGAAAGCTAATGTGAGCCAGCACAGGTTGGTGTTTTCGACCCTTATTATTGGGTCATCTTCAATCTAGTTTTTGAAACAATTCAATTATACAAGTTAAAACGTTTAATGGTTGCTTAATATTTCAATAGATAAGATATAAAAGTTGTTTGTCGTATTTAACTGAATACTCAAACAATTATATTACATATTGACGATGGTCAGATAAATTAGAAACGTGCGTACAGTAAGACATTTCAAAAGTGTGTCTTTTCATAATATTTCTTATACAATTACACATTCTCACACACTGTTTCCATTATATTTCTTATATTGCCATATTCTGGTTATGTGTCTTTCTTATCCTAGGACGCTCGTACGGTATCCTCGAATACACTCAAGGCAGGGAGAGAAAGTAAGCGAGAGAGCGATGAAAGGAAAAGGAGGGTTGCGGCCGAAAAGAGAGCAAAGAGGTTTAGGTTAAAAGAAGAGGACGATTATTTATGGGACGGTTGTATGGTGGCGCGTCCGTGCCATGCATAGACAGTACCTCATTCCGATCGGCAAACGAATGGCTCATTTTCTGTCCGCAAATGTACGGAAATGCCACTCGAGAACGGCATTTCTTAATATTCGCCGGTATTAGGAGATAACCGGGGTAAGTCACGTTCCCATAGAAACGCAACGGTGCTATACTCTTAAGAACTGACCTGTGGCTATACAACGCTTTAATAGTATGCATTGCAATATGCTGCACAATTTTAACTCAATATCTTAGAACTACGCCGATCACTATTACTTTTAATGTAAAAAAAAAAAAAAAACAAAAAAGAAATGAAAGATATAAAAATTAAGATATAAAAACGTTGCATTCCCTCTTTTTTGAAATATAAAATATTATCGATTATTTCTCTTAAAATGTATATATATTTTTATATACATTATTGGTAATTTTATAAGACATGAGAATAAAATAAGCTTTATGATAAAAACTACAGCATTAAATTAATACGCGAATATTTCTCACGACTCTCACGTTAAATCACATCCCAGAGCCAAATTTTTGTGGTCAACCGCGACGTTGAAAGCACGAAAGCCACGTCGTCGTTGGAATGGAGGAGGCTGGGTTCTTCTTCCGACGGAATCGCTGTGAAAAAAGAGAAAAAAGGGGGCAGGACGGTGGCAGAACGGATGCAGCTTTTCAGAAGAGCTTTTACGAGTCGCATATGTGACCGCCATCTCCTTTATCCCCCGTTTTATATTCCTGGCACCGTGTTACATCCCTCCTACCCTCCGGCCACCAGCTTCTCCTCGTACAACCATCACCTCAACCCCCACGAACCGGCCGCTCTCTCACGGGGGCAAGGGGTGTCGGCAAGGAGCACCGACACACCGCCTCCAACCGTGGCCGACCCTTGAAAGCTTCGTGAGGAATTCTTTTTTCATATTCACCAGGGAGTGATAGTCCGACGTAACCTAACAAATTTCCAACCCTCGAATCTACGAGAAATACACCCTCCATCTCGTTCGACCGAACGCGCATTTAAATCCTCGAAGATCTTCGCCTTGCTCGAGCGAAAACCGATCCTTTCTCGTGCTGTTTCCCGCCATCCGTCCAGTCTTTCCACCCCCATCCGCCATTCCACCCCCGACTACTCCACGAAAAGCATGGTCGACCACCACGACCGCCCAGGGACCGATTCTTTCCACGCACAATTTACAGTTTCACATTTTATTCCCATCGCGCGTTCGACAGCGGGGGGTTGAGGCACGGGGGCTCCACCCGGATAAACTCGTTTCTCCCTCCTGGTCGCCAATCATCTTTCCTGCCGGGTCTCTGCGGTTTCTTATGGAGAACGGGGGTCCACCCGGAAATCCGCGAAATTGTTATTTATGATATCGAAATTCGAGGACAACTTGGTCTCTAAGATCGTTGGGCTATAAGATCGTGACTAATGCAAATAATTCGAAAGTCCAAAAGCTATTACTGTTCTAAGTAATGAATTACACAGCTAAACAATCATTTCCTAAATATATATTTTTTAATATTCAATTAAGACATGATACTTAATCATTGAGATCAATAAAACTCACATACTTTCTACTTAATTGTAAATTGATATGTGTCAGTTTGTTTTTGTAATTATATCAACAGGTTATTATCTAACGACTGTTTTATTACCTGCATGAGGGCTCAATTAAATGTAATGAAATATTTTCCCATATGTAATTGAATAATCAACGGTTAATTAAATGTTAATCAAACTAAGGTAATTATCGCAACTAAACTATTTATCATGGTTAAATGAGTGGGTGCTGTGTATAATTATATTCATACGGTTATTTGAATAATTGCTAGACAAATTAATAGAAGATAAAAGCTAATATTAAGTGTGTTCGGTCAGAAATGTTTGCGAGAATTAATTGAATAAAAAATATACTTCTCACACACACACGATACATACTGAAAATGTGTTTAATAAAATGTATTTTTGTAAAGCTAAATTTATTTAAATAGTTTCTAATTTTGTACATGTGTTAACTAATTTTTCTTAAAATATTTTATTTTTAATATAAATGTATAATATTTCAGTTATATATTTTTTTTAATATAAAATTCTTTTATTTTTTTAATTTCTAAAATAGATATTTAATTTATTATTAATATTAATACTTGTTTGACTTATTTAGAAACTTTAAGCATAATAATATGCATGCATAATGATCTAAAACAAAATAAAAAATTTTAATGTTATTCTTACTGTATTTATTATATTATAAATACACGAATGATAGAAGTGATTCAAAAGTGACCGCGCGCGCGCGTTGCTTTATATTTATAGTTGATTCAATTATGTGGGTGGTCGCCATCCTGGAGATCGTAATTAATCGCTAGACATAATTATAAAATACGTAATAATTTAATTTTTAATGGTTGAGCCAGAAAGAACTTTGATTAAGAAACTATTTCAGTTTTTACATTCAGTCGCGCTTTTTCCTAAATAATTGATTATCTATATATACAACGGTATGCTATAGATTTAGTAAATATAGTTTAATGCCTATCCACAATAATTCTTCTGATGTAATTCCATTATGTATTAATAAATTTTAAGAGATGGCAAAAAATCCTTTAATTATTTTTAAATATCAATTTAAATATAATAAATCAATGCAAATAAAATTGCTGCATATAATATTTATCAAAGATATATTAATGCTTTAAAAAAATCATTAACAATAAACTGTTTCTTGCTATTTTCACAAAATATAATTATGGGCTAATGCAGCATTTGGTTTTATCCGCAGCACGTGCGAACTAGAACGACGGCATGGAAGGATGCATTAGGTCGGCAAGACGATAAATTACAAAGGACGAAACGATGGCTGAATCACTGTGAACTGTTAGGAGACATTAAAATGCCGCGTCGCAAAAATCGAACAAAGTGGGAGGCACCGTGGTGCATTTTGCGTCACGGTCACGCAAATCTACCGTCGATTGGCACGAGTTACGGCGTCGCGAAACGGTTGGCCGCGGACACGTTCGGAAGTCAATGACGGATCGGCATAGGAAAGAAACGGAGCTATTAACTGACCGGCGAACAGAAGAAACGACCTCGCGATTGCACCGTGACGAGAATCCGTCGCCGATGTTGATCAATGTTGGAGTTCACGGATTTAACGGCGATTGACGGAAGTGTTTGAATCGCAAAAATTGTTCAGTAAGTATCCCTATTGTATGCAAATTTATGGACCGAATCGATTCTGTTCCCTTTTAACGTAAACAATGCGAATATTTTGATTGTTTTTCTCATATTCATCGGCATGTGCATAATTCCAATTTTACGGTATAAATCAACACGCGGAAACACGCAACACGAGCGTGGCTAGATGCATCAAATCATGCTTTCGAGTGGTCTATCTATACATTATCTTAAACGGAAATATACATATATCGTGTTGTACTGCAATATAGCTGAGGATCAGGAGAAGTAAAACGTCTGTCATGCGCGTCAGTATCATAATTAAAGCCAACATATATGCTAGAAAATAAGGAAGCGATTTTCCTCCGAGAGTGATACGCTCCTATGCCTCCATAAATAAATATATATTAAAGTCCAACATAGTACGAAAGTATCAAAGCTCCAGTCCATAATTCTCTTTCGCATAGCAGAATCGCTAAAGAGGTATTTCTCAACTATAAATTATGAAAGAACATTATCTCGGATATATCGTATCCATTTTTTCATAATTAATTTTTTAAGCATAAATTATACATTTAATAATATCTTTCCATTTTTAATGAACGCAATTATAAGTATACGAAGTAATATCTGAATAATGCTTAACACTTCGGTTTAAATGTAACCGTACCGTGTAAGTGTAACCATCATCAAGACAATATCAAAACAAAGTTGCTCCTTTAATGAACCCCGTGATTAATGAAGGAATGGGTTTGACATGAGTAGCACATGCTACAGCGACTAACGAGCCGTTGTTGCTTTTCTCCGGAATCGGGAAAACGCATGCTCGAGGGAACGTTGCACGCGTTCGGATCTTGTTAATGCAGGAGCAATTTATGCCTGGTGCATGATCCCACTTGGTTGATTATATTTATGATTTCCACGTATTACGCCTGATTCGTAATGCTTCCAGCCCATGGGGTGCAACGCGAAGCGGTTGCTGCATCGGCCGGTTTAGCGCGAATGATGTTGCGCTCGGGCCAAAGCGCGAGCGATAAGTTCATTCGCGCCGGTGTAACTGGCCTGCGATTAATCGGTATATATCGTATCCGTGTAAATTAGATGAAGCGATGAGCACAGCGGGCAACATCCGCGGAAAACGCAATTCGCCAGCTCCACCAGGCTGCATTTTACGACATTCGATAGTGTGGACGCAAAGTATCACGCAATAATTATTGAAATATTATCGTTATCTTTATTACTGTAGATATTCATCTATGCGATTGTCTTTTCTTCGATTTTGCATTCTCAATTTTCATAAAAAATAAATACGTTATATAAAAAATAAAAATGTATTTATTTTTAAAAGATGACCGGAAATATAACGATGATCAATACAAACTTAGAGACTTCCTTAACAATTTTTTGTGCAAAATATTACGTGCAATAATTACTAAAATATTATCGTTATTTTTATTACTGTAGATATTTGTCTAGTTATCTTTTCTTCGATTTTACTATCCTAATTTTTAATTAAAAAATATATATATATATTATACATAAAACCATCTTGTAATATATGTAATGTAACTTCTATATCTAAAAAATGGTTTCTGTAAGAATATTCTATATAATATTTTTATCTTTTAAAGACGATCAGAAATACAACGCTGTCCATAAGTTTTAGAGACTTTCTTAACGATTTTTCCCCGAGTTACTTGCTGTCTACATCCGATACTCCTGCAAACAATATTACATTAGCGACCTGGCCAAACACCTACTGACGTTTCGGCGATGATGACGAGCTGACATACGTTCCGGTTCTTGCTATTATCCGCCCTAACATTTTCGTTTATCCATATTATCCCGTGTACTTTTCTAATAGCGTTGACGCTATTGGTTGATTAGCGTCCAAAGGAAATTGTCTCATAGTTCGTCGATAATCGACGCGACGCATCATGCTTCGCCCACAGTATTGCAAATAAATCGAACAGCTGATAATAGTAAGGTAGAGAGGAAACTTAATGCACAAATATTTATTAGGTGTTAAACTTAATTCCTGCCGTTTTTCGTCTCCAAAATTGATTTGTTTCGAAGGGAAGCTGAATGAATTCCATTAATCAAAGTAATTTCCTCCATTTTCTACTTTATTACTAATTAATAATTCTTTATTAATAATACTTTGATTAAGATATTTTCCTTCGAAACAAATCAATTTTGGAAACAAAAAACGGCAGGAATTAAGTTTAACACCCCTAATATTATTATATTAAAAATTACATTTCCTAATTGTGAAGAACTTTTTCAAAAGATGACAAATAAGTTTAACACTCCTAATATTATTATATTAAAAATTACATTTCCTAATTGTGAAGAACTTTTTCAAAAGATGACAAAAATTAATTGTATAATACGATGATCGTTATATACTTTCATATATATTTCAGAATGGCTCCAGTGATGATTCACAACAATATATACTTTCATATATATTTCAGAATGACTCCGGCGATGTTATCATCAGCGAATGGACCTACGAACCGAATTAATTTTCTCGGACACGGAGCAGCTCGATTGCGACCGTCTGAACGAAAATTAGGTGTTCTCTATTAGAGTGGCTGACCCGTTTACATTCACTGATCAGTAAGTAGCAATAAATATTTGTTGGGTGACTACTGAACGCAATTATTGGGTAACACATGGCCCCTGACGTCTCGATGAAGTGTCCAGAAGCACGTTATATTGCCATTGCGGGAGGTTTGTTCCTGCATTATTGATTTATTGCCTTTGGTATATTATTCGATCAGTCACATTATATCCGTTTGTCGATTGAATAAGATATATTTTTGTACAATTTTGAATATCCTGTGATCAATTAAATCCAATTCTATCATTTCTTTATGATAGCATGCATTCGAATGAAATCAGAATATATCTGATGAAAAAATCAAGTTATATGATAATTTAATCTTTTTTAATACAGGATAATAAAAAAAAGATTGTCTACAAAATTGTGTTTATTAAATCATTACTCAGATGGCAAACTGAAGTTATTGCAGTCATTTTGATGTCAAAATGACATTAAAGTTATTTTCATGTCAAAATAACTTTAAAATAACTTATATCAAACGTATAAGGTATTTCGAATATTAATTATTATTTTTTATATTTAATAAAATGTAACTAACATTAAAGAATTTATTTCTTTGAAAAATCATTAGTATTTTAATGATTAGTATTATTAGTGATTTGGTAAACTCAAAACTTTGCGATTAAACTATTTTCACCCTGTACTTGTATCGTGTGACACTTAGATAGTATAATTAAATAACATATTTTTTCTCATTGCAGGAAATACGAGATAATACGACTGCTTTTCAATTCATACTTATAAAGCTTCTTGTGTCGTTACATTTCCGTAAAGAATCGCACGCAACAAGAAGCCACGGTGGTCGGCGGCCGTCATTGATCTCCTGTTAGAATCGGATCACTTCGATGTAACAAGATAAATAGTCAGCGGGACACCGTCGGTGGTCGAGGGTGCGGATCGTGGAGTCATGCTGACTATGTATCTGATGATCAAGAGAACTGAGTACGCGCACGCTTGTCCGATCTGGATGTATTTAACGCATACATCAAGGTACACTGAAAGTTCTTTGATCGCACAACAAACCGATGGGACACCTTTTCGATTCGCTTACATGAGATGAAGTTCAATTCACTTAGATGAGATCGTCGATTCGTTTCTGCGTGGGCTAAGAATTAAATATTACTAGTAATTCAATTTCTTGACATAACACAATATTGTTACGCGATAAAATAACGAGCGACCTGTAATTAATCGATTTACGCTAAAACGACGAGAAAAGCGATAAATGATTGACTAAGAATCACCGAAGCAAGAACTATATCGGATTTCGCATCATCTAACCGCAAATCTCACGATCTAATGACAAATTCTCGCTTTAACGTTTCTCATAGCGCGCTCACCGGCGGGGAACCCCCAAGCTTCCGAACAGCGCGAGCCCGATCAGCTTTTTATTCCGTGGCAGGTTTTTGCACGGTCATCGGGACTTTCGTCACGGCAACACCCGGGCACGTGACGCCGTGAACACGGTGTTACAGGTGTTTGCGCCCATCCACAGTCTCGACTATGATGACATCCTTTCGAATCGATTCGTCAGACTTTCCCTCTCTTGGATTTTTGTCGCACCGCCTCTACCACCCGCGAGTGTGAAATGGTAACGTTCCAGGAAAACGTCAACCGAGATCGCGTCAGACTATCGACCAACCGGCCGGTTCGTTCTACTTCAAGCCGCCATCGTTCGTTTCTTCGTCGTTCGCCGACGTTCCACGTTTTTGTTAACGGTATCCTGTGGCCGGTCCGAAGACGTCCAATAACTTCGTTAAGTGTTTTTACTCAGAATGCAGAATCGGAGGTCTCCGGAAGTGGTCTGATACAGAACATTTAAGCAGGTTTCTTTTTTTCTGCGAGCTCTCGGAAGCACCGTTATTAACATTATCGCATCCACAATGTTTCTTTAATTGCTTAAAATGTGATCCTCGATATCTTCCACTAAATAATAGTAAAGAATAATATGCTCAAGTTTGAAATACTGAAGCGTGATAAATATAGCTTAAATATGATAAAAATGTATAGAGAGTTTATCGTTTCTTTCTTTTACCTACTTTCTGATAAGAGTTGTTATATTCATAAAAACCTTACATCACAGAATCTGGCCACGAACAATTTTGTTAAAATTCTACGAGAAGAAAAGATGTATATATAATTTGTCTCTATATATACATTATTTTATTCTAACTTATACCGTTTCACTCTATAATTTTAATTAAGATTGTAGAGTGAGATGGTATAAGTTAGAGCGAGATGTAAAAAAGAAATTACGTCTTTCTTTTTGCAGGAGGTTGACAAAATCACTCGTAGAGTAGCCAAACTCTAATATAAGGTCTCTAGGAATGTATTACTCGTCAGAAAGTAGGTAAAAGGAAGGAACGATCGATTCAAA